CCCCCTTGCTCTCCATAGTAGTGATGAACACAGTAACGGAAGGCCTTGAACGCCATGGATCTCCTTTATGCACTGATGTGCTTTCGATGGCAGAGAGCAGAAAAGAATATGAAGAAGAGGCAAAGAGATAGGAAAACCAACTGGGATTGTACGGAAGCGTAAGCGAAGAAGATGTAATATATGGAGGTGGACAATTTTCAAGACATGCATCAGATGAGTCAATTAAAAAAGGAAGTCGTTATCTTAAACGCTGCATATTCGCAAAGGAGAAATTGTAGACAAGGTGATGGCCAGAACAGCGCAGCATGGTTGAAGTGGAGGTGGTTGACAGGCGTCCATTGACAAAATAATGTCGTTGCGTCTCGACCACTGATGTAGCATACTGTGATGCCCAATACGCTTAAGGCAGTGTTGGCTGAGTACATGGAAAGAAGAGAATAATCTGTGTTGTTGAGAGTAGGATGGATGCTGCGATGGATTTTAGGTCTCACTATGGTAAAGACAGGTTCAATCGAAAGAAGGTTGTTTCAGCTGCTGGAGGAGAGGCCTTTGCGCTAGCATGGACATGCGAGTGGGAGAGGGGAAAACCACATAACAAAGTTGCCTCTGTTCGCGTAACTGGAAAAAAGCGTAAGGAGAACAAAAATAAGAGTAATGGACACATCAGAAAGACCCGAAATATCTTGGAAACAAATGCCAAGTGACGCAGGAAGGAGGCGGTGGGGGAGGAAGAGAGTAGCGAGAAGGGGTGGGGTGCCGCCCCAACACTATGTGGCGAAATTTCAAAGAGTTCATTAAAACAGATTAAAGTGAGGAGATAATTGATTATTTTCATTATATTAAAAAACTTTTAGAAGTTACTTTGATTACCCGGGTAAGACCACCCTCGCATGGGCCGCGTGCTCCCTCTATGTATCAGGCCAATTCTCCAGCTTGCTTAGAGCTCTTTTTCCTTTCTGCTTATAATATTATCTAGTAGATGCAATGTAAAAACAAGCAGCAATATTTTACCGTTAGCATCACTAATGGCGCTCATCTATTGAGTCATTCATCCAATA